TCTTAGTCTGATGAACCAAGACCACATGCTAATTAGTGTTTTATATGCAAATTAATTTGCTTACTGGAAATGCCACTGCCTTTCTGGCTTTTCATGTTTGAGTGGTGACTGGGGAAGAGTTCCACATTAAGTGAATGGTCACAAAATAGTTGGGGGGGGCATGTGTGTTTGTGTGTGTGAGGACATGCTCAGGCAGGCAGCTTGTGTGTGTCTGGTTGGTCCTAAGAATGAAGCGGGTGTCCATGCTATCCCATTCTGGTAGCAGAGTCAGAGGTAAGAAAACTAAAATGGCAATTAAAAACTGATCTTCTGTTTTTTGTTTTGTTTTTAACATGAAGAGGTTGATTTAATGAATTCTAAGAAGGAAAACTTTTTTATTTAAAAAGTATATAAAGAACATATTCAAAAAGATTATATAGGTCATATTTTATTGTAAATGTAACAGAAAATATAATGATTAAATGATAATCTTCCTTTTAGAAAAGCAGTTTAAATATTCTAAATAATTCTTGGTAGAATAGATAATAATTCCTTAAAACTTAATGACATTTATTCTTGAATAAATTCTGATCCTAAGTGACATAGTTTTATTCTCTGAAAGACTGGTGGCCATGAGCTCATGTTCCTGTTGGCTATTGTTAGCTTTCCACCTTGTCATCACGGTTACTGATTTTGTAATATATATATATATATTTGTAGTCTTCCTTTCCTTTAGCCCATTTCTTTTAGGTTTAGTCAGTTTGGGCTGCTATAATAAAATATTGTAGATTAGGTGATTTAAGTGACAGACTTATTCCTCAAAGTCTCAAAGTTCTGTTGCCAAGAACATTCAAGATCAAGACTCCGTTGGTAGAGTGTTTTGTAGTACTGACATGAAGCAAGCTCCATCTGCTAGCACCCAGTTAACCTGGAGTGGAGGTGGACCTTCATCCCTGCTCTCAGGAGGTGGAGGCAGGAGAATTCTACATTCAAAGTCATTGTCAGCTCCGTAAGAAGCTTGAGACTAGTCTGAGCTATCTGAGACCTGTCTCAAAAAATACAACAACCGCCCAGACCCCCACAATCCAAACAGCCTTGCCTTCACTTCCCTTCTTAGTGGGCCGGAGAACAGTAATTTCTCTCCTTTAAGACAGCAGAGTCTTCAGGAAAGCTCCGCCCTCTGCCCCCAAGACTCCCTTCAGGCCCACCTTCAAATAGTTTTGCCCTGGGGATCCCGGTTTCACCCTAGGAATTCTGTAGCAACACAAACACCCGAGGCCCTTGTTGATGATGTGAACATGCAGAAAAAACTTTGCCTTAATTCCCCCCTTGGAATGCAAACTAGATCATCACGTGTTATGAAAAGCCTCATCCTGTACAGGTGGACCAGTTGGGAAACTGGAAAAATCATCATCTAGGTTTGCTGTCACTGAGAGCTGTATGTTTGATCAAGTAAGGGTGATGCAATACAGCTTCCGGGGAGGACACACACTGAAGGATTATTTTCTCAGCTTTCTTTAGTACTTGACATTTGGTGAAGAGAACATTCTATTTGTTCCAAATTAGAGGACCGATGCTCAGAACGTTTTTTCAGAAAATTATTCCTCAGATTAATTATAACATTGTGAGCCTTGAAGAACCCCACAGAGAGAACAGTGAGCTTTATCTGCTCTGTTTACCGATGAATCCGGCCACCTAGGACCCGTGCCCTGTGAGCATTCAGTGAGTCACTTGCAGATGAGGGTTTCTCACTGTGTTCTTAGACCAGCAGGCACTCCTCTGTGTCCCCCGGTTGACCTTTAATGCCTCATAACAATGAGCACCATTGTTTGTCGGTGTGTTTCTTTCTTGACCACAGTTTATTTTACTCTAGAAAATATGGTCATTTTCTCCAGCTGCTGGATAAAGATGGCTTGTGCCTTCGAAGCCTATGCCTTTCCCTCATTCCTCTTCATCTGTACACTGTTCAGATGGCTGCAGTTGTATAGTCTACTAATCTTTGTAGTTAAAGGCAAACTGGAAAGAATTTATTCCAGGATCATAGATCCCTTGTTTTGTAAAGAATTTTAAAAATCATCTGCTCCAACTTCTTCATTTTAAGGTTAAGAAAACTGCAGCCCCCAGGGCTTATAGCTCAAGGCCATCCTACTAATTAGTTATGCTACAAAAACTAGCATCCAAGCTCTTGCCTCACACACAGAGTTTTTCACATACATTATAAATAACCTTTCCCAGGGATTTGATGCCCTATTTAAATCAAACCCAAAATGAAACAAAACAAATTGCCTCAAATATAAAGAATAGGCTTATTCTCAGGGCTACAGGGTCTTTGAAGAACATGTGTGTCCTAAATTAAGAATGCATAGAGTACCAGCATGTCTGTGAACACGTATCACTCATATTGCTAGTGGATACTCTCTGGCCTAGATCATTATTTTACCAATGTTTATTTAAAATTGACTCCTAATAGTGAAGTACAGATGCCATTATAGAATTCTCTCAACGGATCCAGTGCAGATAATTCACTGTTTACATACGCTATCTTGTTAGACAGTTAACATAGATGGCTGTCTGCTATGTTAGAGTTAGGATTGGTCTGAATATTTAGAATTTATACCAACACTAATTTTTTTAAAAAATACTTTCACAAAAGAATTTTTATAATTTAGATAGAAATATTTCTAAAAATCTGAGCTAGATTTTTTTCTCACGTATGCTTTGTAAAAACACTTAGATGTTTGTGACTTCTGTCTGCCTCCTCTCCTCTCTCCCTTTCTCCTGTGCTTCCTACTTTTTCAAAACGCAAAATGATTTTTTTAGAGAAAGGCATTGAGGAAATAAGCTGCCTTAACCTGAATCTGTATCTGCCAATATTATTTTACAGGGACCTGTACGTCCCTACCCACCACATATAGTAACACTCCCTCACAGTAGCCTCAGGTTACTTCTGCAAGACAGGTAGAAAGGGTCATATAATCTCACTCAAATACACTGATTCATGATTCAATGTAGAGTTCAAATAATCCAGGAAATTAACACTGTAGCATCTTTTCACATTAGGTGAGCATATAAATTTCAAGTACTATGTTTCAGATAAGGTACTTAACAGTTATTTGTCCCAGCATTCAGTATTTAGTGATGCTATTCACATCTTTGGACCTGTACTCCATTTCCAACTGATTTTATCATAGGTGGAAATTATTAGTAAGCTACATTTGTTTCTCAGTATTTCAGTAAGCTGATAGTATACCTTGAATTTGTGACTATATCATGAAGCTTCACTTTGTAAAGAAAGGCAACTGCTATGAAGCTAATAATATAGTACCTGATTATTAAATTTAGAGGTGACTCCACATGTGAAAATTGTAATTGTGTAAGTAAAATTAGATGATTTAGAAAAGAACCGAGCCTGGATGTTGGAATAAGCTGGCAATATGTAGCACCTGTCAAGTCACTTTAGAATAGTTTTTCCCGTGAAGAGGAGAGCTGACTCTGGTCACATCCATGAAAGCTGAACCTTTTAATAATCAACTTTGTTAAAAACAAGAAAGTCTACTTAAGTTCTAGCAGCTGGAGGTAACTCTATTACCTGAACCATGCACCACTTCTGCCCAGTAAAATGGTCTCCTGGGAGCACAGTGACACAAGAGTACATGGAGCAAAGACAAGTTGCCTGTTCATTGTAAACTTATTTTGGTGTTGCCTTAGACTGTGCATGCACTGTAGATACAAATCTTCATGGCAGGAATTTCGTGAGATTTTATTGCTGCAGACCAAATTTCTTATTTATAAAAGATATAAATATAGGGCTCAATTATGTAAAATGTTGTAAACTTGAAATGCAAATATTTTTATTTACTTGTTATCTATTAAATTGATTCTCAGTATACATTAAACTGTTCTTGATATTTCAATTAATATGCAGCCCATTAGAAATAAGTACTTGCTTATTTTATATGTAAAGGATCTTATAGTTAAATAATATATATAGGTCAGCAAGAATATAATTATTCTGCTAGTTATTAAAAATATAATAAAATAGAAATTTTGAATAATCTAATGACTTTCTAGAAATGAACTCCCAAGTCTAAGTAGTCAAGTATTGGACTCCTACCTGTAGGCAATGGATACAAAGGCATTCCCAGATACTCAGTTTTCTACTAAAAGATTTAACCCAACTTAGCAGAATCTTTGTTTCATCCAACAACACAAATTAGCATTACTTTTTAAGAAGAGACCATTTCCCTTTTGTTTAAATTAATATACTTTAGAACATACTATAATCAAAATATGAAAAGGAATTTTATCTTTAAAGTTTATAGTTAACCTTATAACAAACTCATAATGTGAAAAAGCCAGCAAAGTATTTTTGCCTATAGACGACCCTTTGGAAACAAAATTATTTACAATCTTATATACAACAGCAGTGGAGAGATGAAATTTGATAACTTTAAATTTTTTTATTGAGCCGGGTGGTGGTGACTCACGCCTTTAATCCCAGCACTCAGGAGGCAGAGGCAGGTGGATCTCTGTGAGTTTGAGGCCGACCTGGTCTACTAGAGCTAGTTCCAGGGCAGGCTCCAAAACTATAGAGAAACCCTGTATTAAAAAATATATTTTATTGAAAACTGATAATAAGTACTTATAATTTATTCAAAAGTTTCCATTCAGAACCTATTCTGTATAATGCAATAACTATCAAGCACCATTTTCAAATAGTTATTGGTTCTTTTTCTTTTCTTTAGCAGTTAGCTATCATTATTTTAGAAATTTATATTTTTAATTGCTGTAGTTAATCATCTTTGATGCTTTCGTATTTCATTTGGAAAATTTCCAGATTTTCTACAAAATTAAAAGCAGGATGACTCTTTACTTAGAAGTTTTTATTCTGCTGAAAACAGCCACATAGGAAAATGAACTGTTGTATGATTCATATTAATTCTGAATTTTTCAAGTAGTTTGGTTTTAGAGTTGTGTTTCACAGCACTCTGATTTTTGGTTTGTCTGTTTGTCTTCACCAGCCTTTTATGTCACCTCGGTACCCTGGAGGCCCAAGGCCCCCACTGAGGATACCCAATCAGGTAAGATGTATGTGCTACTTAAAGTTTTTAAAAAGATCTTGGAAATATCAGAATAAACATCATCTGTTGTCCCCACTTACTGCTACTACTGGTAATGTGTAGTCTACTTGAAGGTCGCATAGCCAGGCTCTGTGCTGACTGGCTTTCTGTGAAGTGTTGTTGTAGTGCAGAAGCACATGTAATCCTCATGCCTTGTCCATGACTGTTTACATACCTGTATAGATTTGAGGAGTCACACTGTGCATGGCTTGCAGCCCTGCAGTATTTACTATCTATGTAGTTCCAGAAAGTGGTTGATTGACTTGTGGAGCTAATTTTGCTAAATGTTGATCATCCTCTCAGTGAAATTTTCTATAACATATTCTGATATGTTATAGAAATGTACTTTGGTATGTTATTTTCTATGGTATAAAATTCATATACATTGTGCCTTGCCATAGTGGCATGTCAGCAAGTAATTAACTGCATCTTGAAGGGCTAAGTCTAACATTCTACAGTAAATCTTCCCGGGGTGTGTGTGTGTGTTTTAAGAGTTTTAAGTTTCTAAATGTTTCATTTTCATGTTGGTTTTAATCAACATAATAAATTTCATATTTACTAAAAAGAATAAAATACTTTCTTATTTGTGAAGAGTTTGCAATTTAGCTTTAGGATGTGGGTGCTATGCATACTTGTCTGTGGTAAAAGGAGAAATTAAATGCTTACCAGTGTATCATTTGTTCATTCATAGAGTTCAGTTTTATCCCAAAATAAAATTATTTTAAGTTCTTTTCCATTCTTTTCTTTTTATTTCATTTCTATATGTTTCACTATCAAAAATGGAACAAGAAAGTTGCAGTTATTAATCACTTGAAGCAACAGAATTTTGGTTCTCATCTGCAAATTCTTATTGACATTGTGCTGAGCTGGGTGGTAGTAGTGCACTTCTTTAATTCCAATATGAGGGAGGCAGAGGCCGGCAGATTTCTGTGAGTTTGAGGCCAGCCTGGTCTACAGAGTGAATTCCCTGCCAACCATGTCTATGTAGAGAGACCCTGTCTCAGAAACACCAAAATAGCAGAGAGAGGGAGGGAAGAAGAGGGGGAGAGGAATTATGCAGTGTCTTTGAAGCGCCCCAGCTTGCTGGCATTCTCTGTCTGATGCACAGCGGTAAGTGGCAGCACCCAGGCTCACCCCAGACAGGAAGGAAGCTTCAGGAGAACCGGCACTGGCTTGTCCAGTGGCTCGGACTTAGCAGTCCTCATGTTTCACTTGCAGACTGAATATGCACTCAGTTTCTTGGATCAGAGAACATGTCATGAAACACGATAGAGAAGTATACAGATGCCCAGAGTGCCAACATGTAGGAATCTTATTCTGCTGTGTAGATGAACCTGTGTGTATCAACGTACTCTTACACAGGGGTATGAACTTTCTAATTTTCATTTTTTAAGGATAATGTCTTCTGCCTTCTGTTGGCACCTTCACAGTATTTAAGAGCTTTCATCCTTGGCATTGTGTTTGCGTAGATCTAGGCGAGTCCTGAAAATCTGAATTAGGAACCTGGGAAATTCCAGCATAAATATATTATTAAAGTACCTTTATTTTTTAGTCACGATAAGAACATGTTGTAATTAGAATTATATTCATTTGATGCCATTTCGGTGTCATGTATAAGATACTATGGGCCAAGCATGAAGGTTGTAGTTCAATTCCCAGAACCGATCTAAAGGCTAGTTTTGATTAGTGGCTCTGACACCTTGGAAGTAGAGATAAGGGAATCTTCAAGACCACCTGGCTAGTCAGACTAGTAGCTAGCTCTGCATCCTGTGAAAGACCATGCCTCAATATTTTATATGTGTGTATATATGTATATGGGTATGTATATGTATATATAATATAAAGTGCAGAACAGTCGAAGGACACTTGGCATTAGCTTCTGTCCTCAACATATATGTGCTCACATGTGCATTCACACACAAACTCACACTTGTGATAACATGCATATAGATATGCACAGATACTACAAATGCATACACACAGATACCGTGTTAAGTCTCATAATCTATAGAAACTTATAAAACACAGTACAAATGGAAACAACCTATATTTATACAAATCATTTTAATTTCTGTTTTTGACAGAATTTCACTAAATAGCCCAGGTTGACCTCAAAATCTCTATCCTTCAGCCTCAACCTTCGGAGTGCTCGGGTTAAGGTGCAGTCTTGTGTTTGAAAGTTCCTAAAAAGCACCATGTAATGACTGTTTTGTAAGGAGTCAGAAATCACTGCAAGGGTGTTTTCCTCTGGACTGGACAGCGTTTGTGTCGATGCTTTCTAAACATTGCATTCTTTTGCATGTGGCTCCTCTCCATTCTTCTGCCACATCCATTTCACTAATTATGTTAATTCAAACATCAATTACCCAAACTTAGAATAATTTTCATTTATACTATTTTTCAAATAATCACGTTAATGGTTCAAATAATATTGGTTTAGGATGTGTTTAATGTATTTAAGAGCACAATCTGTTCAAACAGACAGATGCTTGTTCAGCTTAACTATTTGTTAATTAAGGCAGAATTGGCATAACTTTTTTGTTACTAATTGTAGTGGCATCTAATTGAGCAAATATATTAAGATTTTATAGTTATAATTTATTTGAGTTGATTACAATACATTGAATTTTGTTGTCAGTAGATTATACAAAGTAGAAACACAAGTTGGAGCATTCCCTTTTCAGTGGCTTGGCTGGTCATTAGAATATGTGGAAAGTATTCTTTAATGAACAGGGCCTCTATAATTCATATTTACTAATTATCTGGCTACATATTTTAGTTTTCTGAAATGTTTTTATTGTTCTGTATTAACTCTAAAATAGCTTATACTTTTTAATATACTGTTTATCATTAGGAATTTGGAAATTGTAATGGAGCCATTGTACTGAAAAATACAGAAATAGACATGACTGCCTAAAATGATATATGTCAGATAACAAATGTATACAGTAGAGTGGAGAATCAATTTTTATGAAAAAAAATCATGAAGCAAAAACTAAAATATTCATGGCTCACAGTTTTGTGCTGGAATTGATTTGCTCTCAGAAGGAGCCCTCACCATTGGTGACACATCCAGCAGCTGCTGGTAGGTGAAGCAGCTCTGTATCTCTGACGGATGCACTGCCTGAACATGAAAGCCCATGCCTTTTATCCAACACTGCTATGCAAGCAAAAAACATATATAAAATCTTTATGGTTGAGTAGCATTAAGATTAAGTTTTTGGCTGGGTGGTGGTGGCACACACCTGTAATCCCATCACTCAGAAGGCAGAGGCAGATGGATCTCTGTGAGTTCGAGGCCAGTCTGGTCTACAAGAGCTAGTTCTAGGACAGGCTCCAAAGCTACAAAGAAACCCTGTCTCGAAAAAACAAAAACCAAACAAACAACAAAAAAAAATAAGCTATTATCTATGGATTTTTAAATTTTGTTTTCATTCTCATTATTTATAAAATAGACATGTTAGTTGGTTACATGTAGCACACACTATTGTCCATTTTATATGCCAATGTTAAATTTGATTCTCCAAAAACATACTGTATCTGACCCAGCAGTAGTGGCACACGCCTTTAATCCCAGCACTTGGGAGGCAGAGGCAGGCGGACTTTTGTGAGTTCGAGGCCAGCCTGGTCTGCAAGAGCTAGTTCCAGGACAGGTTCTAAAACTACAGAGAAACCCTGTCTCGTAAAAACCAAAAAAATATTAAAAGATGCTATAAAATAAGATCTACTCAAGTGCTATTGCGAATTTATGAGCAATGTAGGAAAGAAGGACAAACCTTGTAACGATGTCATCACAGCCATGCCATTATGCAAGCTTTGTTCCCATCACATGTGCTTGCATTGTGAAAAGAGATTAAGGACCATATACTTTTCTTCTGAGTGGCAGGATTATGAATGATTTTGCTATTTGAAAATCATTTGCAGTTCACATTGAACTTAGACTTGTAGTTAGAGAAAACACTAACTGTATAAATAGAGAAATGAAAATGTTATACTTTGAATAAGATTAACCTTTTTAAATATTTAATGCATTATTCCTGTAATGGGAAGAAAACAGATAGAAGAACACTAAAGATAAGTTAATCCTAAAAAGTCTTAATGGTTTTTAAGATAAAACAACTAACATTTGAAGCAAAGAAAGCGATGTTTAGACAGTTGCAATCCCAGCTCCTGAGAGGCAGAGGCAAGAGGATTGTCATGAGTGCAAGTTCAGCTTGGAGTGCAGAATGAGATTTTTGTCTCATAAAGCAAAAATGTCGACACTGACTTATAATTGAAATTGTGCTATAGCTCCGTGCACCAAGTCACTTCCATTTCCAGCAGACCGCCCTCCTCACTGTGCGCTGTCTCCTGAGGATAAGGATGCCTCATGCATCTTTCCCAAGTTTCTTCTTGAATCTTTGTTGAACGTTTTGCATATGAAGTTTGGCTTTTGTTTAGTGCTGTCTGGGTGAAATGTGAGACATTTCCAGATACATGAAGAGGAATGCATTCTATTGAGAAGATAACTCCAGCCGTGCTGTTGTGACTATGAAAAGTCTCAATATATAACCTTGAGTATAAGCACAGTGCACCCTGGTCCATGTAAGGTTAAGGGCAAAACAGATCAAGTTGCTTCCTTGGACAGTGCAAAAAGCCACTTTTGATCACAGAATCCCCTTATATTTATGGAAATTACAATATTCGTATTTTAAAATGATTATTTGAAGTTAAACAAGACCACATTAAAAGAATATTAATTTCTTATGATTTTGAATTTGAGTTTATATTGGAATATATGTTTTTTTTGAATGATTTCTCCTCTTGTAAGGCAGAGGAAGATAAAAGGGGAATATGTTTGGGGGAAAAAGGCACATTCTCTTCCCAACCCAAGGAAAACTTACACTATAGATCCAACGTGGGCTTGATCCAGATCAAGTCATGGTTGTGTTGATATTTCTGATATAAAACATGTTTCATAC